CAAGTTTCATTTAGGGTGATTCAGCAATTTAGAATTTAATGGAGGGGGGGGGGATATGCATGCAGACAGACACAGACACACAGGGAGCAAGACAATCTCTTAAGCCTACTTTTTACTCATACACTCATGGAGCTGAGCCCTTCTTGAGAAGCCGTCAATCGTTCAGCCACTCAAGAACTTCCCAGCATTTTTTGGAACCTGAAGGTTCATTACGACATTCACACGAGCTCTCTACTTGTCCCTATCCTGAGCCAGATCAATCCAATCCATACAATTCCATCCTACCCCTCTAATATCCTATTAATATCGTCCACCCACCTACATCTTGGTTTTCCTAGTGGTCTCTTTCCTTCTGGCTTTCCCACCAATATCATATGTGCTTTCCTCTTCTCCCCCATACATGCTACATGCCTTGTCTATCGTATCCGCATGATCCTCCTGCTCATTCTAATTACACTTACAGAAGAGTACAAATTATGAAGCTCCTCAATATGCAGTTTTTGTTCAGAATCTAGTAATGTAAAAATGTTCAAGTTTGTAATAGTGATCTATATTCATTTGTTTTTGTTTTGTATTACAATAAAATAGTTTCTCCTCATCCAATATGGCTGTTAAGTGATGTGTAAGCATGACACAAAGAAAATCAACAGGTTATGGGCCAAGATTTGCTCAAAAAAAAAATGGAGAAGACAGAAGAAGAATAATGAAAAAATGGCAACCACAGAGACAGAAGAGGTAACTCATCTGCCAAAACTGAAGGACACAGACTCATTTCCATTGTGGGATTTTGAAATCAAGATTCTGATGCGTGCAAAAGAACTGATAAACATCGTTGATGGCAGTGACCTGTTAAATTACCAAGGAAGAGCTGAAGAAAATATAAGGAAATGGAAGATGCGATATGCAAAGTATCAATACTACATAGTGAGAATGATAGAGAAACACGTGAAGACCCACATTGTGACATGCAGAACCGCGAAAGAAATGTACGACACCTTGAAGCAAATTTATCAGCAAGACACCTCTCAACAGAAGTGCCTTCTGCTACAACACTTCTACAACTTCAAGTATGACAAAACTAAGGATATGATGATGAATATAAGTCATGTACAGAATATTGCCTTCAAGCTTCGTCAACAACTTCAAGTATGACAAAACTAAGGATATGATGATGAATATAAGTCATGTACAGAATATTGCCTTCAAGCTTCGTCAACTGAACCAAAACATTGATGAAAACATGATCATGACAAAAATAACAACGATTCTACCAGAAGATTACAAACACTTCAGCACTGCTTGGGACTCAACGGCGACCGTGGACAGAACCCTTGACT